TAGAGCAAAGTCCCCTCAGCGATGAGAAGAAAAATATTTCACAGACTTTTCTCAGCCTTATTGAGATTACCTCACACATGCTTTGGGCAAGACTCACCCATGAGATTTATTACTCATCTATTCCAAGTAATTACAAGTTTAAATTAGATCATAATCAGGTGTTGAATTCTGTAAGCTGAAAAAAAAATATGGCTTTCATATCTAGCTTTATCAGAGATGCACTTGCAAATACCTGTAGATAGAAGTACTGTCAATCTAGCTCTGCATGCAAGTGCGTGAAGCGTGCATGTAAAGCATGAGCAGTTGTGACATGTACAGTTTCCATCATCACAAGTCATCTGCTGTATTCCATTGCTAGTTATATTGCAGATACTGCTGTAAAGCCAGTATAGGAAAAAAGAATCAGAAGCAAAGGACTTCTGTTATTTAACTCAGCAGTTCTCTCAGGAGTTTTCACTGTTTCAGGCTGTCCGATTACATTTTTGGTGAAGTGGAAGAGTCACGCGCACGATACAAACATACCCTCAACCTGGCTGCGAGGCAGAGTTGAGTGATGTAGTTCCTTGATTCTGTTCATTGCATAGCAATGGCATTTTAAACAAGAAAATTCAGTCGTGCTCTAAGCAGCAAATCCTTCTAGCACACACACATAAATTCACATCAACTGTTAAAAAACAACAGCAAAAGAAACTGAAGATGCATGTTTGCACCACGCGTTGATGCTTGAACAACCCTATCCTCGTAGTGTTCATATGAAGTTACCCATGGAAGTCTGTTTCCAGCAGGCATCTTCTACTGGGAACACAAGCATAGCAGCACCTTAAACCAAACACGAAAGAAAAAGCTTCCAAGACCCAGCATGATTACAACATTTTGGTGTGAATGTATTTGGAACAGTAAATTGTACATTATGATCACGTTTAAAAAAACCAACGTGTCAGAAATACATTAAAGCAAAGGAAGCTGTACAACCTTAACGATAAAGGCAAGTACATTTGGTTCACCTCCGAGTTGTCATTTTAGTAACATACTCTTTTGTGAGCTGAGCACCCTACGTTCAGTATATATTAGTCCTATTGACTTACCCTATATTTGGAAGCCTACTAAAAAAAAACCCCTACCACCCTAAGATCCCAATCCTGCCAACACGTGGATCTCTACCCAGCCTCTCAAAAATAAAATAAAATTAAAAAAATTCAGATCTGACTAAGCATGAGCATGTGTTGCCAGGATAAGGATATAAAACAGTGTATCAGAGCTTTGTTCTGTTGCCTCTACACAATCAAGGTACGTATGACTAACAAGGAAATTCAACAGAAAAAAATTACTGCATGTGCGCCTTGGAATAAAAATTTGGAAGGAGTGTTAGTTACACACATGAATTTACAGACACTGATTGAATTGTTCAAAAGTAGATGAGGTCTCATAAGGCTTGTTTTACAGCTGTTTAATTTACAGCTGCAAGTATACATTATTTTTAAAGATTTCATATCCTTTGGAAGTGAAAATGTTCTAGACACAAGCAGCTTTGCATAGCTAAGAATATGTTGCGTTAGTAAACTCTGACTTTAAACTACCAATTTCTCCCGGCTGACATGAAGAGCTGAGGGCAGATGCCCTCCTTACCCAAAGCAGAAAACTATTTACAAGCACATTAGCGGAAACAGGTGCAAATAAAGCCAAAAGTAGAAGAAACATACATCTACCATCCTACAAACTTTTAGCATTGTGACAAACACACACGGAAGGCAACATGACAGACGTCTTATTTTTCAGCTGTTCTGTGCTTCTGTTCTCATAGATCACATGTCCATGTTCACTGTTTCATTTGATTTTTTTTTTTTATATATATACTAAAGAAAAGCTCAAGTGAAACTATAAAACCACTAATTTAATTTTCGAGTAGCATTACACAGGCATCCAGATCAAGATCCAGCAATCGCAGCGTAACAGGATGAAGCAGGAAAGGCAAAGGGTAAGTACAAGTAACGTTAGTATCACTTCCAGATAAAAAACTGTGCTAAGAGGCTATGGAGAATCTGATGTTACTTTTTGTAAAGCAGTAGAGGATACAGAAGAGAGTAAGAAACTAGTGAGTCACTGCTGACCAATACTTACAAAGGAGACAGTGACCTGAAAATCAAATCAGAGATAAACTGCAGAAAAAGGGAGATAAGTATCATTTTAGTACTACCCAGAAATATTTTGGACTGATGTTTATTTTTAAAACAACAGCCAAATTAGGAAATTAGTAATTTTAAGTAACTTGTTCAAATTTGAAGAATATTCAGCAACAGTATTTCAGAACAGGTTTCATTGGGTTTACTGTGGGATTCAGTGAACTATGAAGTCTGGTTGCAATCTTCACATTTGCACAAAAATACTTAATAAATCCAACCTGAGGAACATATGCCAGCAACACAGGATCCAAACCTGTTTCTGAAATTTATGAATAATTTATGGAGAACCAAATAAATTAACTTTGGTCAGAATGAGCCACTTCCCTAAGACAATGCAGACGTATTTAATAATTTCTTAATACTGCACTTTCAAGAAATAATTTAATGTTGGTAGTACTGCATTCACCTGATTAAAGTCTGAACTATTTTAAACCCATAGGATAAGGGAATGGTATCTGCATGTTCTAATAAAACACACAAAGCTCATAAATACTTCTAATTACAAAGTACAATGAGTAACAATTACATTGTAAGATTGTGTCCACACAAACCTTGGGTTTTTTCTGATAGTCACTGATGGCAAGAGCTTTGGCTTACACCACAGGAACGTGGCAATTCTCATTCTGATTTGTAGATTAATTTCCAAGTTCTTTAAGTACTAGCTGGTCTCTCAGATGGCTACAATTCAAATCCTTCTGTAATTCTGCTCCTCAACACCTAAGATTCCTTCTCTTGCAGAAAAAAAGACTGCCTTTCTAAATTCAGAGGTAACAAACAGTTTCTCACTTCTGCCTTCCACAGAGTTGGAAAATGCAGTTTTCCCCAACCAGATTTACAGTAACTGCTTCTCTTTTTTGTGTCAGTACAGACAACTCGCACATAGGAAACACAGAAGCCTATGTATGAAGAAATGTTCTCTGGTATTCCAGCCAGAGGAAAGAAAGGAGAAGGAAAAGCACTTTAAAACTTGAAGATGCAACATTACTATAGAAATACTGCAACAGAATAAATTAACCTAATTTTGTCATTTATCTTATTTCCCAATTTCAAAATAGGCAGGTAAATATGAATCAGTCATATCTTCAGAAGAAACAGAATTACAGGTGATGCCTTCCCTTTTTTAATAGATCCCACCTTTAAGATCAGAACTCTGGGCACTTTGAAAACCAGGGGGACTTTCCCCAAAGCAAAATTACTGTACTCCTGGAGGGGGACTGCAGGATTCTTTTCTGCAGTTTCTTCAGCCAAAGACTCCAAGTGTCTGAACTCACACCTAGAAATGCTAAAAAATTAAACAGGCAACACAGCTGTGGTTTCAAGAGTTTTTCAGGAGGAAACATGAGTTTTAGGGTTGATCTAAAGTGATTATTTCCAGTAAAAGTAGAGATGCTTGCTGTATTAGTGTGGTAACCATGGCAATTAATAGAGCAGCAGGAAGAGACAAAAATATTGAAAAGTATTGCTCATTTTCAACAGAACAAGAGATGCAATGGATGAGCAACTGACCTCCCACATCCGTGAGTGGAGGATATGAAGCACAAAGCATAGCAAGTCTTCAGAAACTAAGCCTTGGACACACATTTACTGATGGGCTGCCTAGTAAAGATGCAGCCAGTATCTCTCCTCTCACAACGGAGGAGGAAAGTCTGTTACAGGCCCAGGAACTTGACATGAAGAGGTTTCTCTTTTCATTTAAGGTAAGAGAAACTAAAACCTGTTCAGGACAAAACCAGAGGCCTATATTTTGTAGGTACTACAGTAAGAGATAAAAATTAGTTAAGGCCAAATTCCAACATACATTCACAACTGGCTTAATTTTTTTCATGCAAATGAAAAATGCTCCAAACAATGTCATAAAAAAAGATATTCCAAGAGGTCACACATTTGTTCTCTAAAAAATCAGTTTGTTTCAGAAAAACTCTAAAGCTGCAGGAACTGAGGGCTGCGTATCAATGTGCAAAACCAAGATACAACTGTTCTGAAAGGGTTTGTGTGAGCTCATCTCCCAGCTCTGCTGTAAAGATTCCAATTGTTTTTGGAAATGGGAAGTCCAAAACCAGGAGTCTAGATGAGTGAGTATTTTAGAGAATTTAATTTCCTATTTCTAAATATTTCTGATAAAGTAATAGAGGTATAAACCACTGTAACACTTCCCAACTTGTATCTTAATAGAGCTAGGAGAATTTCAGCAAAAACAAATTATTCCAGTCTTTGAGGCACACACACTGTAACATCTGCATCTTGCAATCAGAAATAATTTAAGAAGATCCCTCCTGAAGACTCTAAAAATGTGAGTCCCATTTATTACACTAGCTAAAAGGACAACATACTAATTTTCCCCTATAATTATGCATTCCAAGTTCTTTTCCTACCCTTCAAAGGGCATCAGTGCCACTCAGGGGAAAAAAAAAAAAAAGTACTGCTTTTGACATTTTTAATAATAAATAAATTAAACAAGTAAAAAGTCTGTGTCTAGTGTGCTGGACAGGTACTTGGAAAATCCCAACTTACACAGGAGAAAGAGCTGTCAAGGCATAAAGTAAAAGGTGACAATACAGCTCATGATGTTTGTGCCAGATTTAAAATACAAGCTACTAAAAAAAGTAAACAGAAGTAGCTTAAACTAATAGAATCCTCCCCTGTAAGTTCAGGGCAGCATCTGAACTGGACAGGTCGGGGTTTTGGTCCTGCACGCTGGGACCCTGTATGTATGCCACAAATAGATAGAGAGAGAGATACATAGAACAAGTTGAAAAGTTCCTCCATTCAAATGAAAGCAGTATCAGCTTTCTAAAGAAGCTTGAGGAAAAAACATAGGCACCACATAATTTTTTTTTAAGGTTCAAATGTACATTAACATATTTACAGCCCCCCTTTCCCCCCTGTTTATACACACATAGCTTATGTAAAGTTACATAATCAACAGAGTACCTTCAGCATGAAAAGTCTCTCAGGCCAACTGCTCACAGTAACTACATTCAATAATGGAAAGTGGATATACTTGGTCAAGTCATCTCTCCTACCCCAATAACTTAATTTCAAACCACAGGAAACAGTCATATGACGTAGTACTCAATGGCTGGGCTTGTCAGAGCTCTGAAACAAGGAGCACAGCTCTTCACAGGTCTGTGTTTCTACTGAACTGAACTGGGACTCCATTGTATTCCAGGCTAAGTCAGCCAGAAGAAAGTCATCCATTGCTGTCTGTGTCTCGTTGCTGGTAAGGAACAAACTCCCCAGATTCTCAAAGCAGCTATCCATAGTCTGTGTTTCAGCACTGCTGAGCTGGACTTTGCTTTCGATATTCTGAGTAGGTATATTTTTAGTAGCCGGATATACTTCTGTCTGGGTTTCAGTATCAGACGAGTCAGTACTCATGGAGAAACTAGACTGCTTGAGAATGCTTCCTAAAGGCAGATGGGTGTTGCTGTCCAAAAAGAAATTCAAGTCTGTCTGTGTCTGTGTATCAAACATCTCCAAACCCAGGAAGCTGGAATTTCCTCGGCAGCTATATGACTGAGTGGCACTATCTGAAAATAAGAAATCAGTCTGAGTTTCAATGTCCAGTGACTCCAAAACTGGCTCAGGATTTAGGGTACCAAGCTCACTCTCTTCAGTCTGAGTTTGGATATTGGATGCTGAAAAGAACTCTTCAATGTCAAAGTCTATCCCTGTGCTCTGTGATGGACCAGACGGCAAATGCGTGTCAGCATTAGAACTTGTCTCAGACAAAAGGCCACGATTATCCAGTGTCTGGCCAGACATGTTTCCTGAAAAGATGTTTTCCAGATCACTTAGTAAGTCCATTGTCTGGGTTTGATTATCCATTGTATTTTGAGGTGGGAGTATATTAGTCTGTGCATTGAAACTGATAAGGGATTCAGACTTCACTGCATCTTGATTCAGGCTCTTGCCATTACTCCTTTGCAGCAAGGTTTGATCGATATTTGCAGGCATTAAATTGTTTCCTGGAAGTTCAATGTGAGTGGGGACATTATATGACGAATGAACATTGTCAAAGATGTCGCTGCACATTACGGCCTGGTCCATTTGCACTCGTCCATCAACAGAGTCCTGTGTCCTACTGGTACTGGTTTGAGTCTCTCTAGAAATGCCACACGCTGGAAAACAAACCTGACTAAAAGCATCAGTCTGAGCAGCTATGGATGAAGTCAGTTTGGAAGCAGGGAGCAGCGTCTGTGTTTGTACACTGATGGGTAACGAAACCTGTGAACTGAACGACAGATCTGTCTGAGAGCAAGAGGATACAGAAGAACTGGGAGTCCAGGCTGCAGCTGGTACAAAGTTCTGGGAAATGTAAGATAAGTCAGTCTGTATATTTATTGAAGAAATTTTATTCTTGTGACAAACATTCCCCAGCTCTTGCCCTGTGTTATTCAATGTAACCTTATCCAACTCAACTTGTACACCAGTACTTACTGGTTCACGATCACCAGAATTTGTCACTTTTGAAACAGGCATGCTATCCTTAAATACAAGTGTTTCTGCCTCCAGTGCCGGAATCAGAATTCCTATAGATTGAGGCAATAAATGAACAGTACTTACAACTGAACCCCGATTATCAACAGCTACCACAGCAGGTTTGACAGAAGAGTCAGTTGCAGATACATATATGGGCAAGTGAGTGAGCTGCATCACTGGAAGTTTAACCAAAGCCACCTTGGGCTTTGGTAAAAGCATCTTCGGTGTACATTTTGGCTGCGTTTGGTTCGTGAAGTTAGAACTGCAGGAACCTTCCAGAGAGGCCACTATTTTCACTTCAGAGGACTCCAGCTCCTGAGCAGCAGGATTACTATTGTGTGTATTGATGAATGCTTCATTTGCTTTCTCTGCCAACTGCTGATTATGTACAGAGGTTTCCATTTTCCTTTTCTTACTAGGAGGATCCCTGTAAACATGAGATCAATAATTTATATTCCTTTCAAGCACAACACATTTGCCTTCCATTCTTTTGAATCCAAATATAAACTGAAGTGACGGATGAGGCTGGATATGAGAAGAAAACTAGTCCCGATTAAAACATAAAAAGACTCAATAAACTTCAGTTTTGTAAAATTTCATTCCTCGCTCTCCCATTTAAAAAAAGAAAAAAGGTCACCTCTTTTCTGGAGACCTATTTCTAAATGGAGGTGGAGGTTTAGATGGCTTCTTCCCCCTTGTACATTAAGCACTCTGATTGGAATACATGTCTAATTTGTTTCTTTGATGCTAACTCAGACTGAGCACTGAAGGAACAGCGCTCTTAAAAGCAGCTGAATCTCCAAGACAGGCAGGCTAGGCCTCAGAAAACAGATTCCCCTTTATGAAATGTATGTGCATGTTAAGAGAACTAAAAATCTAAACATGCATATATAGGCATTTAAAAATAACGAATCCACTACACCTGCAAAGATGACTAGACTATAAAGGAAAATAAACTGAACTGCACTCCACACCAGAGTTACCAGCTATAAACATTCCCAAATCATCACTGCTCTCACCGAACTGTAAATGCAGATGCAACAAGAACCACTGGCATTTATACCAGGCAGTGCAGTGTCATCAGTACTTTTTGTTTTATATGTGGGGAAACCCACTCGTATTGATTAGACAATCATCACTGCCTTCAATAAAACAGAAACTACTAAAAGCAACAGAACAAAGCAACTGCAAACGGCTTCACAGCTGAAACAACATGAGCCTAGTCCCAATTTAATTAAGAGAGACAAAAAGCCAGTACATGGAGACTGAGGACGTGGGGATCAGTGTAAGTATCATCACGTAACTGCTTCACTTTTACCTGTGTTCTGCAGGAATTTCATGGCCAGTTCTGTAAATATGGGACAGCAGTGCTGTTCTGCTGGCGTACGGGCACCCGCAAGTACACTGGAAAGTCTTGCCACAGACCTCTATGTGCCGCTTCAAATACCATTCTGTACCATAGGAGTTACTACATTTATCACATTTGTGCTTCTTTTCAGCATGCATTTTCATAAAGTGCTGGAATACACAATGAAAAGTAAACATTAGGCTCCAGCTAAGATAAAGAAAAGAAAATAATGTTTAGGGGAGGCAGTAATATTTGCATTTTTTAAATTGTTAAATAGCACTGAAGAGTAGAATTACAAATTTTGTAAAAGCCTAATGAGGAGTAACTCACCAGCTTAAAGAAATCTACAGAAAGAATTTAAAGTCTGCAAATCTGCTTGTGGTATGTACATCTTAAAACACAGATAAATATTTATGTATCTTAACAATATTGGAGGTTTCCTATGGACATTAACAAATCTATAGCTGAATCTTGCCAAAAAACATAGTAAGTATATATTGCAACACGTGCACACTCCTGAAGATCTACAACTGAGCAAAGAGTCCCAAGTCAAACAGGACAATTTCAGAGCAAACACCAGAATTTTTTCCTTCTCATTTACAGCACTGAGTGCTAGCTGCTCATCTCCTATGGCCTCATCACAGGTAACCAACAACACAAAGGTGCTTTTTTTTTTTACTCACTCATGCAGAAACCAGTCTGAAATGTTTTCTTAAACAGGTAGCTAGTAAACAAATGCATTCTGATACTAAAGCAGAGAAGAGCTTTTAATTCCTGACCGCTTGAAAAAGCAGTTTAAAAGCATTAGCCACATTTTAAACCTTTATGGGTTGCTACTGTGATTTTTTTTCCTCTCTTTCTTTCTCCATCTTTTTACTTTGTGGAGAGGGGCTGTCTTCTAGTTTAGCAGACCATACCAAAAGGTTCAAGTCCTCCAATATCAACATGCAAATTAATTAACCATATGCCCATGTGGAGTTTCTGCATACAATGCTCCAACTTCTGGATATGTGCTGAGAGGCTTTGTTCATATCTGAATGCAAAAGTGTAAACTCTCTGGAACAGAGACAGTCAGGACTAAATCAGTAGGAAAATAATACTTTAGGAAATAGCAATACCTGTTTTACAAGAGAAAATTGGGAAAATGGTCTGTTTGGTCCTCTAGGGCAGCCTTCAATGGGACAGCAGTAGAATTTCTGTGAATTTTTCAAACCCTTCCTTAGTGGTGCATTAAGTTTTCCATCCTGAAAAAGAACCAGTTGAGAAGTTCACAACTCTACAGGTTTGCATATTAAAGACAATATTCAGAATACACATCAACTTTGGCTCACTGAGTTTACACACCTGATTGAGTTGAAGGCATTTTCCTAAGTGATTTCAAAGTTCAAATGGAGTTTTTTCACCTGTGTGAATGCTACTTTGCAAATATACCATCAAAATCAACAAGTGAAATTACAACAAGCTCTACAGAATACTGGTACCACACTATTTACCTTTACCAAGATACTTGCTGTCCCCAATCACCTTTTGTTTTATCTGAGCCCAAAA